GCTTGCACAAAACAACAAGCAAAAAAGGCAGTACAGTAGAGTAGTTCCTGTCTGGGGGCACGGGAGATACACCAAATGCCCCTGGGTATGTCTTCCAGGATCCTTCGTATTCATCATCATTCATGAACAAGGAAATGGGCACCATGCTGCCAAAGCATTTCTTTGCTTCGTGGCGGCTGTTCTGCTTCACAAATAGCAGTCGGCTTTTTCACAGTGTTTCCCCTGTGAAACAAAGGGGCACTTGGTGTCTCATGGCAGGCTGTGGGCTGAGCACTGTGTTTATTTTAGACCAACAGGCAGCTGACTCTATCGAACAAAATGCAGCTAAACCCCATATAGATAACACAGGTTGATTGCATTAATATAATCTGATAACATGATTTGGTGGACTTTCCCTTATTATGAAATTCTGGATTGAGAAAGCCTTCCCCATCAGTGGTCGCCCTTCTACTGTTTAGTAAGATAATTTCTCACTCAGCAGGCTGAGGGCTGTGCAAAAGGCGGGACTGATCATTGCTGGCCTGTGTTAGGGACTGCCTTGTGATGACAGACTGCAGGGGAGAGAAGGGATAGGCAGCACAGTGGGCTGCGGTGGGGGCCTCTTGGAAAAGAAGCTGCCAAGGGTGTGAGCAGAAGCAGAGCTGTCTGCTGCTGCGAGGTTGCAGGCTGCACTGAGCGCTTTGCCAAAAGCTAGATGCCTCACAAGGCGTTGTGCAAGGAAAGAAGACATCTGTCAGGATATGCAGTAGGGCTCCTTCAGCAGTGCTCTTCCAGTGTTTGTAAAATCAACAGTACATGTATGGAAAAGCTGGACCCTGTTTCCAAATTGCAGCTGTCAAGTGAAAGAATAATGTGAAACAATCTTCGAGCTGTGTAGGTGGCGGTGCTCTTACACAAAAGCTGTGACACACTGTCTCATAATTAAGAATATATAATTTCATGCCTAAGGGTTCACATGAAAAAGCTGCAGAGTCGCACCCTCTGAAGAGCTGAAAAGAAGCTCACAAGTACTTTATTCACTGTTTTCTTCTCTAGGCAGATATTAACAAAATGGGGAGAAAAAATCATGCTGTCAGAAAGCTACAGACCAAAATAGTCCTATATCATTGCTAGAATACTTGCCCACATTTAGATACTTCCTTTTTTTTTTTCTGTGTTACTGGATTCAAACAAGAATAGTCCTGGAAGCAGAGGCTGGAAAGCAGAACTCATCCACAGCAGTTATTGAACTGCAGTTATCAGTCCTTGAGTTCTCTTCTTGTTCCATCAAGCTGTATACATTTGTGTAAGGGATTCAGGACTAAGGTGGGCAGTTTTCCCACCCAGCCAGTGCTAAAACCTAGTGCCTGATAGTGCTTGGTGCATTCGCCTATGAGACACAGGCTTGAACTCCAGCAAGGGAATGGAACACACTGAAGACAGGCCCGTCCTGAGCCACGCGAATTTCTCCACTACAGAAGTTATGTACCAGTTTCACTTAAAAAAATGAAGTCACTCGAATGGCAGTTTCAGGGAGCTCTATTTGAGTACTCACACAAGGTCTTCTTTGAATGCACTCACTGGACGTTGTCTGGGGACTTGCACTTCATTCCACCTTGTTCCTGAATTTCATCATGGGCAAATCACCTCATTGCTAATGTCAAGGCAGTTCAGAGTAAGCAAAGAAAAATACTAGCTGCTAGAGAATTTGCAGAAGGTGAAAATGAAATGTCTATAAATTTTGGATACTTCCACGTGCATGAGAAAATAAAACTTTTCTTTCGGATGGCTTTTTGGATGTACATGCTTAAAGCCAGCTCATGTTCTCTTTAGGAGAGCCACAGCATTATTTTAGTGTTGCTTCTCCTTTCTGAAGTCACCTATAATTCTGTTCATTTAACATGTTATTCACCTATTCCCCATTACAGACACAAAAAATGTACGGTTAGGAAGTGTGACTTCTGAATCTGGTTTTCATAAAGCCTATGAAAACTATGATGTAGTACCTGCTACAAGTGATCATAAACCCATTTAGTAAATGAGCAAACTTTACCAAGAAAATAAAACCAAGGATTTACTAAGAGACAATTTTTTAGTAAATGTGGAAATGAGAAGTCTAGACTGCCCTGCTGCCATTGCTTTGTGACTGGCTGTACTCATGGAGTAGATTAGCACATTGCACAGTACAGAAGGCATGAAACTACTTACATTACCATCAGTCAAGGCCAGGGTATTGACTGGTTTTGTGATTTAAGGGTCAAACTATGGCCCTTCCCTCAGTTAATACTGAGGGAAGAGGTGAGTACCTAACTCACTGAGATGATGAGCACCACTTGACAGAGCATCCACAGCTGCTAATGAATCCTTAAGAAGGGCTGTGGCCATGCAACTTAGAGAACCTGAGACACTCTGCAACCCGAATGCATCATGCCAAATTTCAAGAGGAGTGGTGGTGACTTGATGTGTAAATTTCTACCACCACCTCTTGAGAGGAAACTACATGCAAAGTTAGCTCAGACTGAACGTAAACATAAGGAGTGATACTGTAAAAGTGAAACTTTCAACACTAATCATGTCTCTAAATCCAGTCTCAGTCGTGAGCACTGAAAGTAGCATTTCTTCACCTAATAGGTCAAAAGATCTGTATTTTACCAATAACCATTATTCCAATCACAGCTGAGTTTCCCGCAGTTACTTCCAGAGCCAGGTAGAAGTAGGAAAACAAGGCAGATCCTACACAGTTCGCTAAGTATAACATGGGATATTAAAGTCGGGAGAACCTGAGATTTTACAATGTGCATGTATGTTTGGGTCTAAGACACAATACCTCATAACTCTTCTGTTTTTTTACTGGCTCAGCTATTTTGTGATACAATGTGGTTAGTATAAACTAGTTTGACCAGCTGTAAATCAGTAATCGATCAGAGCTCAGTCAGGTTAGGCAAATCCAGCTAACTGATGTGCAAGATGCAGAACGAGAGAATGGGGTTTGGGGCCAGAAGGGACCTTTAAAGATCACTTAGTCCAACCCTGGGGGCTCAGGGCAGAGCAGCAAACACATCTGAACCTTGACATTTGCAAAGGGGATGTGTGCTCCCCTGGCGAGCTGCAAACTGGGGGGAAAGAATAGGCACTGGACCTTGCTTGCACAGATGGGGATTGGCTGAGAGAGGCTCTGCCTTTAGTAGAGTTTGCACCGAGGGGAAAAAAATGTAAAAAAAATATGTCACACAGACATATTAAAAACTTGGTTTTTTTCCCTTCACGATGTTAATCTTCTTTTCATAGTACATGAGATTGTGGCAGTCATAAAACCGCTGCTATTGCGTGTACCAGAAATGGCCTGGATGCATCCCTTACACCAAACAGGGCTCACCACATGTCTTCACGGCTTCCGTGCTCTGGCAACACAGGAATGGCCCAGCTTAGCCAGCACTAAACAGAGATTTTTATTGCAATCCCCCCCCCCCCCTTTTTTACCTT